TTATTTTTTTTTTATCAAATAATTGCAGCCTTGGTGAGCAGAAGAGACTTCTTTTAAAAATATAAAAAAAAGCTTACCGATCTAAAACTTTTGACCGGTAGTGTATATATATATATATATTTATTTATTTATTTTTTATTTATTTATTTTTGTTTTGTTTTTGAAGGTAGGGAAGGCAATTGTATAATATATGTATAATATCTTGCTCGGTAAGATTTTTAATGTTTTTAAAAGAAGTATATTATGCTCACCAAAGCTGCATTTACAAAAATACACACACAAAAAAAAAAAACATAATATTGGTGAATATATTTTAAAATGTAATTTATTCCTGTGATCAAAGCTGAGTATTCAGCATCATTACTCCAGTCTTCAGTGTCACATGATCCTACAGAAATCATTCTAATGTGCTGATTTGATACTCAAAAAACATTCATTATTATTAGCAATGTTGATTTTTTTTTCTCAGGATTCTTATGTTTTTGAAAATCTTGTAGATTTATTTGGTAAAATATAGATGTTCATTTTGTTCGATTCTGATTTGAGACAAAGCTCTTGTTAATGATTTTCAGTTTTGTTCAATGTAATTTAAGCAACAGTTTTTTAATAACTGACTTAAATAATTTTGTTTCTGTATTTTTTAACATATTTTAATGACAGTATATTGAACTACAATTTATTTGTTTATTTGTATTAATTTATTCAAGGATAGCCCCTTGAGATGAACCATCTCATTTTCGAGGGGGTCCCTTCTTTACGAAAAAAACAAGATCATAATAGAAATTCAGAGATAAAGTAAATGCAAAACATTTAGATTGACATTCATAAACGCACACATTCAAGCAATGCTCCCATAAACCTACTCCCTTTCCCTTTTGTCCCCTACCATCATCAATATCAAAATAAACTAAAGTGATTGTTTTGATCAAGTGTAAACTATAAACTTTATGCTGTGTGTGTGTGGGGTAATGTTCCTCAGGATCAGAGTATTTCAAGTGTGACCATCAGAGGTCGGTGTTTCTCTACATGAGTTCTGTGAACGGCTCCTGTCCCATCACTGCCTACCCCTGTGAATCCTACACAGACTTCCTAGACGGGAAGTGCATGGATTGTGGGAAGTTTAAGCCAGATGGATGTCCTGTTTTTGGTAAACTACAAACACTGAGTAAACTCTGAGTTTCATTTGTTTAATTGCCCATTTTGAGACATTCATCATTTCATTACATTGCTTAGGTTATGATGTTGTACACTGGAAGGAGACACTGGTCCGGCTCGGACAAACAAGGACGTATTTCCAAACCAATGCAGCTCCTCCATTCTGCAGTGAGCATTTCAGTTACTACTGTCAATTGGGACCAGATTTGTTCATTTTTAATAAGATTATTTTTGTGCATTGTGACATTTTTATAAGTACAATATAGTATATTTTATATAGTCTTATAGGGTCATACAGTATTATATACACTGCCAGTCAAAAATGTGGAATAATTAAAAAAATTATGTTAAGAAGTCTCTTCTTGTGCTCACCAAAACGGCATTTATTTGATCAAAAATTATTATATTTTTAAAATGACATTACAATTTTAAATAACTGTTTTTCCATTTTAATATATTATTCCTGTGATGCAAAGCTTATTTTTCAGTCACATGATCCTTCAGAAATCATTCTAATATGCTGATTTGCTGCTCAAGGGACATTTCGAATTATTATTATTATTATTATTATCAATCAAAACAGTTGTATAGCTTAATATTTTTGTGGAAACAGTGATAAACTACCATTCACAGGTTTTGGTTTCGGTAATTAATACTTTTATTCAGCAAGGATGCATTAATCTGAGCAAAAGTGACAGACATTTATAATGTTACAAAATATATATTTATAATAGTTATTTTGAACTTTATTCAAAAACAAATCAGCATAAAGGATCTTGTAATCAGTTCTTTAAAAATTATAATTATATTAACAAAATTAGTGTTTTACTGTATTTTGATTAAAGAAATGCAGCCTATAAGAGAGATTTCTTAAAAAACATAATCAAAGGGGAAATCTGAAAAATTAATTATAAATATTTGTGTCCGTTAATAGAATTAACTTGATGTTGCTGAATTAATGATACAATCAATTATTGTTTCTCAATATATTGAATATATATTGAAAAATATATCTTTCTTAGCATGTAGTTTTAATCACATCGCTAAAGCGGACTTTGTCTTAAAAGCACGGACCAAAATCAAAAATCGAATGAATGAGCACAAAAGTTGTATTTACCTCAATCATGAACACATAACTAGTCTAAACACACACCATCATGCATACATGGGTAAAGTGGAAAGTGAAAGTTGACTGAAACCGAAACAGAAATAATGAAGCAATGGAAAGTCTGAACAGAACCAACCTGTTTAGGTAGTCTAAGCTGCGATACTAGGGGGGTTGCTGAATTATTCATTGCATATAATGATTGTGTCTGATTGGCCCAGCCGCTGCAAAAAAAAATGCTAATTATTATTCGTAACCTTTGACTGGTAGTGTAGTATTTTTAAAAGTATTATTATGAAAATGCTGTTTCTAGTTTTGCAAAAACAGACTCTCATTTTTTTAATCTTTGACTCCATCAGAGTTCGGTTACAAGGTTGAAATTGTCACGTGGAACCAGAAATTGCATTGGGGATATTTAACAATTAAATTACACAACGGAAAGGAAGAGACACAAGTTGAACTCAACCAGTAAGTCTAATTTCTCCTATCTGACTTTATTAAAGAGTAGTTCCAGATGCATTATTTGGGCTAATGCTAATATTTCTCATCCTTTTTTCTCAGTAAATCCATAATGTTTGAGAAGTATGTGCAGACCAGCCTTCTCGCTCAGTTTGACAGAGACATCCAGCCTGTTAAAGAGATCACACTGAGGTTCTGTCCGGCGAAGGGTCTCCGGCCACGTAAGAAACTACGGCTGCTGTACATACGCCTGACTCCTCTGCAGAACAACCTCAGGTGGGTTCTCAAACCTTTGTACACTCAGCAAAGTCGAGTTTTTTACCCCGTTAATTTGCTGAATTTATTGCTTTTCTCACATTGCTGGCCAGACGACAAAGTTTGGTTAACTGGAAAAACTTAAAGAGGCCTTATTTCATCAAACTTGAAACAAACATCAAAAACAGATTTTTTTTTTTTTTAGAAATCCCAGTACACCATTCTCTAAAATTTGGAAGCCCTTCCAGTTAGTAGATGTCATTATACATCTTCATCTGATCAAAAATAAAGAAAAAAAGAGTGATTATTACAATTTAAAATAATGATTTTCTATTTTAATATACTTTAAAATATATATATATATATATATAAAAGCTGAATTTTCAGCATCATTACTCCAGTCTTCAGTTTCACATGATCCTTCAGAAATCACTCTAATATGATGATTTGATACCCAGTTATTATCAATGTTGGAAATTGTTGTGCTGTTTAATATTTTTTTGGAACCGGTGATACTTTTTTTCAGGATTCAAATATATATATAATAAAAAAACAAAACAGCATTTATTCAAAATAGAAATCTTTTCTATTAATAAATCTTCAATTTAACACACCCTTGCTGAATAAAAATATTAATTTTTTTTTAACGATAGTGTATATTTTTACAAAAGATTTATTTTGTTTTAAATAAACGATGTTCTTTTTTTTCAGTTTTTATTCATGAAAGAATCATGGAGGTATCACAGGTTATAAAAAATATTAAGCAGCACAACAGTTTCCAACATTGCTAATAAATCAGCATATTCGAATGATTTCTTAAGGACCATGTGACACTGAATTTAAGTAATGAGTATTTATGCTGAATATTCAGCTTTGCATCACAAGAAATAGAAAATCATACAATATTTCACAATATAAGTGTTTTTCTGTATTTCTTATCAAATTTGATGAGCATAAGAGAGTTCTTTCAAAAACATAAAAACTAGTACTGTGAATGAAATCAGCAGTACTCTCAAAACAGAGCATTTTCTTCACATGAATTCATGCGTGTCAATACACATCTGAAACAGAAGTCTAATGGTATCAATCAATGAAATGTCACATTAAATTGTTGCTTTGCTTTTCAACAGGCCTCTGTGTCGCTATGATCTTCTGCTGGAGAAAAATAAAGATGTGACATTCAGACCGATTCCTTGTGAAGACTCAAACTTTTGATCCCGACCCTCAAGACTGTGACCCCTGCCTCTTCCGGTCAGTTCCTCGGCATAGCTGTCATTTGTAGTCTTCAACTAAAGTGATCTGAAGTTGTCAACGGTTTATCTCTTCACAATTATATTTTTCTGATTTTTGTTGTTTTCTTCATGAAGGTACGGCTACGCTTGTTTGTTTGTTTGTATGCAATGTAAATAAATATTTTTTTAAATATGTTTTTCTTGTCTTTGCCTCTTTATATCAGTCACAATATATATGGTATTACTTTAGTTGACTGTGTTTTAACGGAGAATCTAGTGCTGTGGTTCCTATTCTTTTTCTTGCAGGACCCCTTTTCACATCATATGCTCCACTTGACTTTCTGATCACTGCATATACAAAATAAAAATATTAAAATATTAAATATAATAGCAAAGTTAATATGTTACCATTCAAAATGTTTGGGGTCAGTAAAAAAAAAAAAAAAACATATATATATATATATATATATATATATATATACTTTGTATATATATATATATATATATATATTGTTAAATTGATCTAATTATTATTTTTATTTTTATTGTTACCAAAAGCCTTGTTATTTTACTTTCTATTCTTTAAATAATCCTGAAAAAAAAGTATCATGTTTCCACAAAAATATTTTTCAGCATTGATAATAAGAAATGATTCTTGAGCAGAAAATCATCATATTAGAGTTATTTCTGAAGGATCATATGACACTGAAGACTGGAGTAGTGATGCTGAAAATTCAGCTTTAACGTCACAGGAATAATTTATATTTTAAAAAGTAACAATTTTTTAATTGTAATTGTAATATTTCATGATATAATATTTTTACTGTATTTTTAATTTAGAGCTTCTTAAAAGCTTTAGAATGACTGACATCCCAGCATTACATGATTGAATTTGAATAGACCGATGTCATTTTCCAAAGTTTAAAACCCAAAACAGTCTCTTATATTACCCATGTAGCAGCAGTGTAAGGCAATATGTTTTCACAATGAATCTTGATACGAATTCTCCCTTTTATCCCTCCTTAGTCTCTGAAAGTTTTTCATTCCCACTCTTGAGACTCAAGGTGATGTATCTGTGGTTTGATCAGGCGATGGATACCTCGACTCACTTGGACAAGTGTTTCTTAAGGCGTTCTACTTCAATCTGAAATGAAACAGCACAAGTAAGAGGGTCAGTGATATACAGGCCTACTGTCAAATTATCAAAAAAATCTTGTCCTTTTCCAAAGACTTGGCTTTCCTTTGGGATCTCCTATTATAGGTTTTCATGTTTGAATTGTTAAAAAAAAAAAACATTTTTTTCCCCCACATATTTTACATTATTGCTGCTCCTCTCTTCCTAGTCTGTCAGAAACGCCCTGTTTAGTTCCGGTCTCTCTTAAGCCCCTCCTTCTAAAAAGCACTGTGCTCTGATTGGTCGCCTGGACCAGTGCATTGTGATTGGTCAACCAATTCCAGCATGTTTTAGAAATGTCACACCCAACATAACCGTGAGTTTCAACACACTACTAACGCAACTCAAACTTGCGTCGGGCACAAGAGTCATTTATCCCGCCAGTAAAATAGCAACAGCGCCCAAGACCCGCCCACAAATTTACTTTCACTTCGCACTTGATACTTGCGTTTCAGATCGTTAATATAGGGCCCAGAGTATATCTGGTTTTGAGTGACTGTGCTTAATAACTTTGTAGACCTTTTTCATGCTCAAACGGCAACATTACACACTAAAGATTGTTGAAAATGTAAAAAAGCTTAGGTAATGAAGGAAATTGTAAATAAAGAGTTAACATCTGGCTCTCGACTCATCTTCATGCTTACTTGCAGTGACAAACGCATCTTCTTTTCTTCATCCAGTTCGCTCATGAGCAGTTTGATTTCTTTTCTGAAACACAATCCCATTACATTTACAGAAATATAAGGATAGGAAACATTTTTATTTACTTTCCATGCATTCATATTGCACTAACTTCTGCTGAGTCCTCAGCGTATCCAGTTCATCTCGAAGATCTCGGAGCTCTGCTCTCATCTGCTCCAAGGTGGCGGGGCCCTGAAGGGCCGGTCGGGGTTTAGCTGCTAATAACGCCGAGAGATACGCAGGGAGCGAGATTGTGCTTGTTGTGCCAGAAGATGAAGAAGAGGAAACTGCCAGTGCTGGAGCAGAGGTACAGTTGATGACAGGTTCCTAAAATAAATGAAAGGGATAATCCTAATCATTTCAGTTGTGAGGAGTTTGTGCACTAAGGGCCTCACACTGCCTGAAGCCCCAAAACCCAATAAGGTCCCTAAAAGGTGAGCACTAAGCACTAAAAAATCTGTACGAATTTTTTAAATCTACACATTTCCTGATTTTTTTAGAATTTTTTTTTTAAGGCAGGGGTTCGCAAAGTTATTAATTAATTAATTCAATTGAATGTAACATTAAAATATACAAATGTATAAATCAAAGTAAATACATCAAAATGTAAAATAGCAACAAAGACCCCCATCGCTCAATCTGTTTAAACAAATCCTCAATGAAACTTTAAGACTGGAACAACGCACATACATCTTAAAAAATAAGGGGGATGCCTTTCGAAGGATATGGGAACCGCTTATGGACCTCTGACACCACCATGTCATGACAGGGTTTGGCATGTTTACATAACATTCACAAAGGATGAACCGTGACCATGGACTGATTTGATCTAATTTGCTGTATTTAATTTTTTTATATATATTGTTTTTTTTTCTCTCTTATTATTGTTATTATTATTGTTATTATTTCTCTCTTTTATGTTAATAAAATGTTAAAATCAATAAAAAGACAATTGGGAAAAAAAAGTAAAATAGCGATATATCACATCACATCACATCACAATTATCCAATCAAAGGCTGCTATTTAGATTGAAAAACATGTTTCAGAGTGAAGAGTGGCACTGTGTTCATTTACACACACGTGACTTATAATATACGGTTCACAGTAAATGCTGCTTCTCACAAATAAAAGATTGAGGATTTGACATTTTTAAAGCTTGAGGGTTTGAAAGTAAAGAATTGTATTGTAACTTGGTTTCACAGTTTAGATTAAACCAGGATTATGCCTTAGTTCAGTAAGGACATTTAAGTAGCTTTTATATGTATGCCTTAGAAAATAACAATACTTGTGTGCGTCTTGAAACAAAACAATTGCACTGACATATTTTAAGATATGCCAGTGCAAGTTGCTGTTAGTAAATAGATATTTTCATATTAAATGAATGTCATATCACAGGCATGCAGCCATATATGGCAATAAAAAGAAACACTTACTAAAGATAAGATATTTTATTTGTTTACTTGCATGTTTTGTGACCATAAACCAACATCAAAGAATCATGAACATGCCACTGTGTTGCATAATTATTAACATAAATCACAGTCCCCTGGGGGTACTTCAAGTAAATCTTTTACTTCTAATGGGTTTGGCTGACAGAAAACTTTGGGAACCCCTGGGTAGAGAAAATAAACACAGCATTCAGACAGATTTTTTGTAACAAACTTACTTTGGTGTCTTTGGGTTCATCCGTGTTATAAAGAAACTTGAGGGCCAGCAGGTCTGGTTCCTGATTCACTTCATTCATTTCCAGTCCTGCTTGTTCCTCGACAGCCTGCAAAGGGAACACTAATAAGTACAAAACGCTCAATATCTTCATAAAGGATGAGATTTTATTCTCTAAACTTTAGTTTTAGGTTCTAAAATGCATCTCTTATCTTATGGTTTCATCCTACAAACACAACCAAATTTGCAGAATACTGTAATTAAATGAATTATGGAATTCTCAGAAACATTGCATTCGCTTGCAAAACCTTTTGCTTTCCTCTGAGAAACTTTGTGTTAGCTTGCAAAACCTTTGCGTTGCCCCGAGAAACTTGGAAAACCTTTGCGATATGCAAAGTTTCTCGTCTCGGGGAACTTAAAGATTTGCAAAAGCATTAACAAATATTTTTTTCATCCATCTCCCACCATCCATTCCTTCATCACGTCCTAGACCTAGGGCCTCGGTATCACATATTTATTTCAGAACATTTTTATGGTAACACTTTACAATAAGGTTCGTTAGTTAACATTAGTTAACTACATTAGTTAATATGAACTAATAATGAATAGCACATATACAGCATTTGTTAATCTTTGTTAATGTTATTTTCAACATTTACTAATACTTGATTAAAATCTTGTTAACATTAGTTAATGCACTGTGAACTAACATGAACAAACAATGAACAGCTGTATTTTCATGAACTAACATTAACAAAGATGAACAAATGCAGTAACAGATGTATTGGTCATGGTTAGTGCATGTTAGTAAATACATTAACTAATGTTAACTAATGAACCTTATTGTAAAGTGTTACCATTTTTATTTAAAACTTTATTTTTCTTTATAAAGGTTAAAATCTATTTAAGGGGGCAAATATATGCCACTAAGGGAAAGGTGGAAGAGAGGGGGTACGCCACTCTAAACAGCATGGGAACCACTGTTGTACACTATTAGTCATTGCAATGTACTGAGTTGTACACTGTACAAGTTAAATATAACTCAAGGACATCTTGACACAGACTCTGTCTGTCAAAACGTGACAAACATTCTGTCTACACATTCCCAGGAGTAACAGTGAGTGAAATGATCTTTGGTTGTCATTGGAAAATACACGCCTATATGTAATACTGATTATTTCCCCTATATCTAAAATTTATAACTAAATTGCCATGGCTTGTTCATGCAATAATTTAATATCTGATAATTAACTTACTGACATGATTAACTGAAAGTGTGTTCTTCTCCAGTCTGTTGTGTTCAGACAGATTACGCTGGTTCTCTAGAGTCGACACAATGGACTTGAAATCTTCAATATCTGTGATCAGGGAAAAATATGGAAAATAAAGAGGATAAACATAACATATAATCTGATTTTAAGAGAAATCAAATATACCAAGCCAAATTTGGTGAAATACAATCTTATTTAAAGTTTAAAATGCATCTTAAATACACAGGACTCTGAATGAAGAAAAATGAAGGAACAAAGAAATAGATGTCTTACCAGCTGTAAGTGCGGCGTTGTAGTTGCCCATGGCAACATGAATAGAAGGGGCTCATGGATCTGAGACGAAAACAAACTCCAAAAGCACGAACCAATAATAATTTAGATGTACAATATAAAACAATATCTCGTTTTAGCACCCATTGGGGCTTCAGTAAATATCCGCATAGGCCCTTTGCGTTTGCGATTCAAGTTTGTTTTTGAATATTAACCTTCTTGTCAGCACTGTGGACACCACATGAATCTATATATAGTTCCTTCAAGTTCTCACACCAACTGCTCACTGTGTTGTAATTGTACACCATCATAACAGTGACTATTGTCGCGACCAAGTTTAGCCGAGGACAGAATATCTCACTCACCAGCCTGATCCGGCCCAATAAGAAATAAAGACGATCTGGGAAAGAGAAATAAAATAAGACATTCACATTTTATTAAAGTAACCAATGCATCTAAAACGTATTGTAGTTCCAAAGTTCAACAAAAACACTGTGAGGTTAGAAGTTAGGCCCAGCAAAACTCACCTGTCTCTGTATTGAAACAATAACTTTCCAATCTACAGTAATTCCTCCAAAAGTGTCATTTCCCCACAGTCATCTTTCACGATGATGGTGTTCTTCAGCTCTTCTTTATTGACACTGTGGCGTTTCTTCTCTTCCCAGGAGCCTGTTTGACTCCTAATACACTCTCCTTTTATGGAGCCCCCAAGACACCAATCAGACTTAGGACTGGAGTCATAATACACATGTCCCAAACACTTGTCTCTTGCATTTGTCGTGCAGATTATTTATCCATGCTGGAGAATAATTATAAACTGACCCATTTAGATCAAAAAGAAATTAGTTTTGACTTATGTTTGTCTCTGATATTATCACTCACTGGCAATGCGGCATGCATGCATAATAAAGAATATTAAAATCCCTACAATCTCTTCGAATGATGATGGGATTATCAATTGTATTTAGCCTATTTGTTTATTAATCAGCCAAGATAATTAAAGAACTGGACATTGACAGATTTAGAGTGTGTCTCAATCAGTTCCCTAGCTTTCTAGGTTGAGATCAGAATTCATTTACATGAATTTGGGCACTGGTAAGAACATCCTGGTTCACTACACTTTGTGACACGGATGACTCTATTTCCGGCAGTGTAACAACGTCCTCTTTGTACAACATCACAACTGTTGACCAACAGCAGAACTGATATCTTTGGGATATATTTAAAGTACAGTGATAAATACTTAGCTTTTTACATATTTTTGTGGATTCAAGGAAAATGAAAGTAATACATATAATATATACATATATATTTTTTACTATACAAGTATGCAATTCCGGATGCGGCCATAGTGAGCATTGATGCTCCTTGGTTTTCACAGTGCATTGTGGGACTTTTAAGGGAGCAAAAATTTCAGGGCACTGATAGGATTTTGTGAGAGACAGTCATTAAAAAGGCTGACACTTTGATAAGTGCCCCCTGACTGAACTAGGGCACTTATCAAAGTGTCAGCCTTTTTAGGAATGGTTCAATGTTCATGACGTCATGAGCTAGAGCAGCGCTTCACTGTTTATGACGTCATGAGCTATCCAGTCATTCCATTTGTAGCCCCAGTAATAATCAATGTTTAACACTCTTCATTATATCAGTGCAGGTAATACCTCAAATGTGTAGTCAAACCTATAGACCAACATAATGGATGACTGATAACATTTTTCAGGTGTCTTGAGACTGACAAAGACTGTGGCGAATGCTACAGAGGAAAAGGTCAAAGAGGTGTGTTGCAGAACGGCTCTGATGACTTCCAAGGATACTGCGGAGACGACTGTTTCTATGAGGCTGGATCTAATATTTCATACAATGTGTTCCTCATGTTTGAACTTGCCACTTGTATTGCTGATAAGTAAAATGCTGCATCAATACAATACAATTTTTCATCATATTGGTCAATACAGTGAAGTTTTCAGAGTCATTATTCTAAGTAAACACATTTGACCTTAATTTAACACCAGAAGCATTTCCATGTGATTCTTGCTAACTGATCAAATACTTATACAGACTACTGATCTATCTGTAAAACACAATAAAAAAGAGCTATACGTTCACAATTCACATATACTTACTTTTTAGTAAGCCTTACTTTTTTATTAATTGATGAAATTGAGCTAAATGAGTCACAATTGACAGCATTATGTCTAAAAAAATGTAACTGTTCATTGAACTGTTATAACATGTATATGTATGTATTTTGGTGGCATTTCCGACCGGGGAAACCTTTCGGAATTCATCGAAAAATATCTTCATTTGTGTTCTGAAGATGAACAAAGGTCTTGGGTTTGGCACGACATGAGGGCGAGAAATTAATGATGACAGAATTGTCATTTTTGGGAGAACTAGTCTATTAACTGTGGTGGTCGCTGTGACAAAGTTATCTGTTTAAAGTCGGGAAGTTTCTTACAGCAGTGAATGCTAGTACGATAAAAGTCCAGAGGTGCGTTCCATTCGACCGTAAGTGGACTGCGAAGTGGACTTCACAGGGTATTTCGCCCATCTCAAGTGAGATTCCAATTTCGAAGGGAACGAACATGTTCAGTTCGAAGGGCACTGCAAACGGCATAGGGAATAAGGGAACATCAATACATCACTTCACAAGAAGTCAGTGAAGTCCACTTCAACTGATATAACGTGTTAAGGGAGTAGGGAGCAGTGAACACTGCGTAGGGAGGGACCCTGTCGAATGGAACGCACCTCACGGTTCCAAGTAGCAACACCTCCTTGGAGTAGAAGAAGTGCCAACATGGTGACCAATCAAAAGCCAAGTATGTCCTCAGGCGTGTCTGATTGGACAGAGGTGCTCTGGTGCGCGGTGATTGGTGGAGCTCACTGACCGCGGTGTTCGAAAAATGTTGTCGTCTCTGTAACCGTTGGTTAGCCATGCAGGTGGACACACGAATTTAGTTTAGTTACAGTAGTAACGCTAACTGTGTTTAGGTTAGATGTTCTGATTTTCGAGACACATATTTAGCCTAGCTGACTGTATAGGAGTCATTTACATAACAATCACATTTGGATCTTATTTTCCCCTTGATTACATCATACATAAGGTAAGAATGTTTACGTATTTTCAAATATGCGATGCTAGCTACAAATACTAGCAAACACCGCCTCCGGTCAGTAGAATAAATGTTAACGTAAATTGTCGAAATGCGGTTTCCTGCTCATCTATTCTCGTTTTTTTGTTTTTGATCATGTCACAATGCACATTCATTGTTTAACAACTAACGTTAGCTCAAAACAGCGTCGTTGAACTGAAGTGCAGCTAACTTAGCTGGCTAGCACTAGCCGATTGACTTTGCCTATAAGTAACTTAACGTTAGTTGTCCATTCATAAACGTCCTGACAGTAAATATGTTATCCGTTTAATGAGTGTAACGTTACTTGTTTTCATCTGCAACTTAGGTCTGTCATAATGGCTCTGGCGTCTCCATACGGTGTTCTGTCCGACGAGGAAGAGTGTGGAGCCGTGTTTGAGTCCACAGCCGCTGATATCGGAGCTCTCATGAGAGGTCCACGGTTTGCGTCTCCTCTGCCAGAGATCTCCGTCATAACCCCTGCTGCAGATTCTCAAACACCCACTAAACAGGTATGATACACCGTAAACTTGTGCTCTGACTGATAAATATACTTTATTTCTGCAGGTTCAGGTGTTGTGACGAATAACTATCAGATTGTGCTACCAACACTATGTTTGCATTGTTTTTAGGTTAGGGGTAACGTTAGGTGTGGATGTTAATAAAGCCTCAAAGCTTATGAATATGACAATCTGATCGGTAGAATTGGTCATTTCTTTTGACAATAACGTTAACTTCATAACTAAAAAAAATTAGCTAACTATTGATTGTCACATGCGATATTTAAGGCCTTTTAATTATACTAGAAACGTGGATTGTATACATGCCTTTATCTCAGATGCTCAAAATATTATGAGTCATCCCATCTTGTGGCAAGCTATTTGAACACTTAGGTGTGGTTTCATGCTGTAGGAAAAAAAAAAAAAACATTACTGGTGTGCATTAAAAACAATGCCACAGATATATTGAAATGTCAGCGCAAGTTGCTTTCAGTTAAAACAGCTCAAACATCCATTTTAGCCTGGGACTAGGTTTACCCCTTGTCTGTGAAACCGCGGGGTAATTCTTAAAATTTACTAATATCTGTTGTTCTCTTAGTAGTTCTTTTTAGTGTTTATTTGTGTGATAGGATTGTGCCGACTAACCGACCGACAGCTTATAGACCATTTCACAAGATGTAAACAACACTGGTCCAGAAGCACTTCCTGTTTCAGTTTGTAACTGTTTTCTTTATTTCACATGTAAAGAAAATATCTTAAAGATGTTTGTTTAACTTTTTGATTCAGTTTTAAATGTTCTGTTGGTTGTATTTTATCCCAGCTTTTATGTAGTGTTAAAAAACTGAAACAGGAAGTGCTTCTGGACCAGTGTTGTTTACATCTTGTGAAATGGTCTATATTTCTTTATCATGAGATTAATTGGTTTGACTATCGCGACAATCCTTCTCATACCTTTTCTTTTGCTTAATTTACATCTTTATACAATAAATCTTTGCATGTCACAAATACCTTGTTTTTCCATCTCCACGAATGAGACGAGTGTCGTTCATAATGTTCTTGTTGAAGTAAATTGTAGTTTCCTTGCTTTACTAGGAATGTTTTGCAGCAGGACAGCAATTGCGAGTAAATTTTCAGTTGTCTGTGCCGGATTATAATATGATGATTCTACCAAGGAACGTTTATCTTAAACAACACTGAAAGTAAATTGCAGGTATAACCATACTGTAGATCTTATTGGTACGATATGCGCCACACGCAGATGCATTTTCAATGGAAAACCTATTAGTACGTGCAATGCCTCAGATCTGTGACGTTAATGGGTCTTTCATCTGTGTGACTGGCAGCCTGTCCAGATCAAGAGTGACGTCAGCAGAAGAGGCAGCGCTGATGATGCATCAGAGAAGCTGAAGGTTTTCGTACGGATCCGTCCTCTTACCGAGGCGGAGAAGGAGCGGGGAGATGAGCAGGTAAAGGAATTTGACACTTTTGGGAAACACTTTTTCAAGGAAGGAATGGCTTGGTTGGCAAACAATGACCTCTTTATTGTAATGTTTGTGCCGTTCAGGGTTGTGTAAATGTGCAATCTGAGGACACACTGCTCCTCAGAGCGCCGAAAGACTCCCGTAACATGAAGAGTGCCGAGAGAGGCGTCTCTCAAAGCCTGCACAGGTTTACCTTTACCAAGGTAATGCATCGATTATTAAGGAAATCATCAAATGTAATGTAAGTTAATTTACATTTTTTTTAATGTGCAGCATCATGTGAATTTTTTTTCTTTGTGCAGATTTTTGGACCGCAAACCAATCAGCAGGAGATTTATGATCACACCATAAGGGAGATGGTACGAGATGTTCTGCGTGGAGAAAACCGCCTCCTCTATACTTATGGTGTGACCAACTCGGGCAAAACCTACACCATACAGGGTAACACGGCCATGACGCACTGTTCTGGATTTCAGCATGTTGGTTTGGTGCATTTATTTATGTAGAACTGGTTCCTAAAGAAATGTGTGTGTGCTGGTGTTGCTGTGATTCAACAGGGTCCGGTGGAGAG